AAACATGCTCTGTCATTTCCAACAATGGTTCTTGTGTTATATTGTGACCATACATTAAATATAGTAATATTCTACTGGTTTGTGTTGTGTGGTGTATTTTTTCATCTTTTTACTTTTGTCTTTCTTTATGCTTATGTTAAAGGAGTGTCTCATTAAGACAGCAGACAGTTATTATTATTTTTTTTTTAAGATTTCATTTTTTCCTTTTTCTCCCCAAAGCCCCCCCAGTACACAGTTGTGTGTTCTTCGTTGTGGGTTCTTCTAGTTGTGGCATGTGGGACGCTGCCTCAGCGTGGTCTGACAAGCAGTGCCATGTCCGCGCCCAGGATTCGAACCAACGAAACACTGGGCCGCCTGCAGTGGAGTGTGCGAACCCAACCAGTCGGCCACGGGGCCAGCCCCCAGCAGACAGTTATTTTAAATATCAATATTCTTAGAATTTAAATTGAAAATTATTCTGTTTATATTTAATATAATTATTGATTATTATACAATAAGTTAGTTATATATTTTATTTGTATGTGTAAGTATGTAGATGTAATTAATTGTTAAGCATAATATAGTTACTTTTTAATTTGAGATGAACACTACCCTTTCTTTGAACTCTTTGCTTATCTTTCACAATAAATATTTTTATTTTCACTTTCCTCTATAAGAACTTGTTAATTTAATATGCTTTAAATATTCTTTATTAGTGCTTTACATTTTATAGCATACTTTCTTTACTCATTAAAGTCTAACAAACTAGTACTTATACCCCTTCTCAAGCAGTGAAAAGACCTAACAAACCCCTATATTTATTTAGTGCTTCTGCAGTATTTGTTCCCTTGAATTTTGATATAAATATATATTTTGCTATTTGAAACCTTATCATTAATATTTTATTCACTCAATATCCATAAAGTTATATCCACATAATCTCTTTTCCTCAACTCTTCTTTCCTTTCGGCATATCCAAGTTTTCATTTAGAATAAGGATATTTGTCTTTAGAAAATCTTTAAATATTTTCTTAAGAGTCAGTTGATAATTAATTCCCCCCTTTTTAAAAAAATCTTTGAAAATGAATACATACTGCCATGATATTAAAATCATAGTTTCACTTGTTATTGGCTTCTAATTTATGCATCTCTCTTAAGTCAATAGTAGATATTACCAGTATTAGAAATGGTCACAAATATGTATACATAGCTTTTATATAATAAGGATAACTACTCATTATTTTCAGTAATTTCACTGTGGCTTTATATTGTCTGAACCTACATTCCATTAAAGTAAAGTAAAGCCAGTAGAATAAACCCATATTTTCACATATAATGAAAAGGAATGATATATATAACATTATTTCACTGAAAACAACAAAGTGGATGAGTATAGGGATGGTAGATATAAGTACCTCAACTTTAAAAAGGCAACATTTTAAGACAACATTAGTGAATTTTACATTATTTGGCATCGCTAATAAATGACGAGCATTGTAATTCTATAATGGGGCTAACAGAAGGGAAATTAATAACAGTTTATGAAAATATAATACAATATAATTAATAGAAATACACATATAGTGAGCCAACATTAGCCATTGTTATAGAAGTTTCAAATATTAGCCCAGATTACAAGGACATAAATATGGATTTAATTACCATTTTTCTAAATTTTAGGAAGTTAATTTGAGTTTGTCTGAACTCAATCTCCCAGAGACATCATTAGAAGTGAATATCCTTAGGAATGATAAACATTTCCCCCTTTCTTCATACAAGATGAAGAATGATGAAAAGAATTTCTTTTGCTATACCTGGGTCATCTAAATTAAAGTTTTGCTTCTTTTGATGTTCATGTATCATTTGACTGGTGTTCTAAAAGTCTACTTTGCCCTCCCCATTTTTTGGTTAAGTGAAATTTTTAAAAAATACCCTTTTTCACCGTCTACATAGTTAGACTTGGGCTTTAGTCATTACAACAAATATTCGTATCAAAACACAAACAGTTATAGTTGGAGGATGAATAAATGATAATATAATAAGTAGTTATTTAATGTTTCAATCTCTGGCATGATGATGTAGTTCAATATTGTTTAATGATTTATCCTTATCAGAGACATTTAAAATTCAGAATTTTTTCCATGATACTAGAAATGACATAGTAAGAGGATAAGGGAAAGAGGTATGTAATGCCAGAATTTAGCAACTTGTCTGAAAGTAAAACTTGAACAAGTACACAAGGACTAAGTTTCCAGTGTTTATGATTGAGATAGAAGCAAGTTAATAGCATAGGGTGGTCAAGTCTCTGTCCCCATATATCTTTTGGAATATGAAAATAATTTCTCAGAGGCACTTGCCAATTGACAAACTAAATGACACTACAAACCCCAGTCTCCTATATTTTGGAGGTGTGTGATAGAAAAACTGTCTTCAAAATCAAAGCCTCAAAATAGCCCAAGTGTAATAATTTCCTGTGACACATTGATGAGAAATCAGCTTTTTCCACTATTGTTTCACTCTGAGCCTTCACAGGGCAGTCTGTGAAGACCACAGATATTGTTTGTGTACACGAGTAACCCAGCCTCCCACTAGACGATGCACCACTTTCTGGACGATGCACCACTTTCTGGACAACAGAAGGTATGTGTGGCTACTCTTCTGCTAGCCCATCTCATTTAGTGGAAGATTACAAATGCTAGGTATGTGACAGAGGTAAAATTAATATACAATCAAATCAAACAGAACATTAGTATCTTTATTTCAGGGTATAAAAAGGCATAAAACATGAAACATGTTGGAGGAGTACTTAAATTATTCAAATTATTGCCTATGCAGAATTAGTCAAGTGCATACAAATGCATAATTGGCTTTGTACAATGACAAAATTTAAAGTGGGATACCAAAAGCATCATGACAATGAACAGTTAATTTTGGATTTTGTAATAAATATAGATAAAATTGTGTATATTTTATATTTAGCTCAGCCTTTAAAAATTGATTCAAAATGAATTTATCAAATCATGAAGGTCAAACGTAATTCCTCATACATGTACTTAGATGAAATAAAGGAAGTTTGATTCTTAATAAAAATGAGGTTGAGTTGAATTTCATAAAATGCTAATTTAAACAACTATAAACAATAAACAAACTTTAAAAAAATTGAACAAAACAGTGCAAAAAAGATATAACACACTGATAAAGAGACATCTGTCTAATGAATGACTTTACATGGTTTAACTAATCGAAATTGTAAATAATGACATGACAATTGAGTTAATATAATAAGTAAAATGATTAACATATTGAGAATTTATAAAAGACAGATTGAGTATTAAGTGTTTTACATGCACTATATCTTACATATTTTTTCTAACTTTAGATTAGTAAACCTAGGTTACTAGCCACTAAGTAACTTTTAAAAAAAAATAGTATAATTATTATTTTCATAAGAATGGAACAGTTTCACTATGTATAAAGAACTAAATATAAAAAATTACAAAGAAAGTAAATCACCCAAAATCTATAGGATAGAATAATTACTTTAAATATTTTCTGAATTAGCATTTAAGAAACAGTGTGTCCTTGTATATATAAACAGAAAGATAGATAGCTAGGTGAAAATAATTTTGGAGCAGATGGGATAATACTATAAATGCATTTTTTAGTTAAAATATAACATTTAACGTGCATTAATAACAGACCTGAAACCGAAGTAATTTCTTAACTTCAGACTAAATATTTGTTTTTAATCACGAAGTCATATTTAGCCTTGGAGTATCTCTCTAGAATTAAAAAAATTCAAAAAACCTTAAGTGATTGGGTCACTGCATTTTTAAACTACATTTTTTTCAGCATTAGAGACTAGTTACTGATTTTCAGCTATGAGTAAAGACTGGCAAACTTAACCACTCGGCCATGAATGACCTTAGCATACTTAGACTTTTCTTCCTTCTCTTCATTTTCCTTATACTTGTTTCCTTCAGACATTCCTGAACTAACGTTACTTTTGCCCCATTTTTCTTAACAACTTTAAATTTCTGCTATCTTGCTATATTTTGTGTGTTTCTGCAAGCCACTCTTAGTTCACAATAAGCAACTTTTTAAAAGTCACACAGTATAAGTTTCAAAGCCAGAAAAGATTCCAAAATGACCGACTGTAGAGCTCATTGACTGAATTAATAAATTATGCGATTTATTACAATTGGTTGCACAGCTAAAGCTGCCCTCACTGACTTTGGCAGCCAGAGGATCTTTCTGGAAATTCGAAATTATGGTGTTCTTCCATAGATTATCTACACTTCTGTTTATCATCTCGTGGTCTCATATCTGCCATTGAATCAAATGCCCAATACTCGTGTTAAATAAGTATTTTAAGGAATTATTTATACTGTTTTATTTTCATTATTTAGTAGGTTTTGGATAAGTTTAGCGTGTCACGTAATATTTTTCAATACATAAAATATTTCTTTAAAATTCTAATGATTTTTCAGATCTCCACAATCATTCAAAATAAAAGATCATTTGATAACACCTCACCCTGCTTCATAAATAAATGTAAGTCTCTAAACAAAACTAATTCAGTTCAGGAAATTACTATATATGCTGACACTACTATTCTCCCAACTTTAGAACACTCATCTTTAACCGTGAATGGATTTAAAAGTTGTCACAAAACTTGGTGCATCATTTTTTTCTAATATGGAGTTTTAATTTTAACCCAGTTGTTCTAATAGTGTTAAAATGTTTCTGTGCAATCTGTCTAGAATTGTAACAACATTATTACTTATGAACTAAATTATTCCTCACTAATTTATTGCCTTACGTTTCTCTAACCAATAACCTTGTGTCGAATGTAGGAAATCATTTTAAAAACTACTTATTCCATCATGAAACACATTTAAACTTCTAAGGACCACACTTTTACACTGTTCAACTGCCAAATAAGTACTATTACTCACCTCATACTCCACCCATTTGCCTATACTAGGCATCTTGTTGTTATATACGCCGTCTGTCAAATACTCAAGTACAGTTTCCATACAGCACAGTCCTTGATATCAGCTGCAGAGATGAATAACCAAACAGTAACCTATGCAGAACTGAATCTGGTTAAGGACTCAAAGAAACAGCAAATGAAACCTAAGGGTGTTAAAAGCTCCATTTCAGTAATTGAGCAGGAAATAACCTGTGCTGAATTAAATCTTCTAAATCCCTCTCAAGATCTTCAAGGGAATGGCAAGAAGGACCACTGCAAAGGTAAGACATTTAATAGACACACAGTAACTGTTCTAGGATGTGCAGCTGGGGATGCAGACATGTGGGGAAAGAGTAGGGAATAAGCTCACATATTTTTGATTTATGAGGATCAGAGCTCGCAGTTGCAGTTGTAATAGGATATTCTAATATAAAATCTGAAGACTAATTCCTTTCAGGCACTGTTAAAATTTGTAGTCTTTGACCAACAACTCATGGAGCATTATATTTACTGAAAATGCAGTGGTATATTCTGAGAGCAAGATTAAAGTAGTAGATGTGGGTTTGGGTTCCAAGTTTATATATATGATTCCCTGTGCATGTGAGTTCCCTTGAATGTAAACTGTCTAAACAATTATCTCCACCTCTCCTTTCTCAGTGTTTCCATTTCTCTGTTTCCCTGCAGATTTCCCATCACCACGAGAGAAGCTCATTGGTGGGATCCTGGGAATCATCTGCCTCGTCTTGCTGTCCACTGTGGTAACAATGGCACTTGTTATTTCCTGTAAGAAAATTTTTTAAAGATTATAAGAGAACTTTTCACTTTAATGATCGTCAGTGTCTCTGAATATTTCCAGTATTATGTATTAGAATTCTCATTTTAACATATGGATTTATACTAAATGTAGAATTTGTCAAAAAAATAAACAACAGAGTGATTATAGAGAATATTTTATATATATGTTTGGATTTCATAACTCAAAGAAGTATTTAGGAGACTGAAAGACCTTGTTGAGAAATATAAATTAATTTTTGAGATTAAACCAAACACTGTAAGAGATGGTGAAGTTTGTTTCTTTAGGTTTTTATTATTTTTCCCCTAATCTTCACTACTTTATTATTTTTTGGTAAAATTATTTGGTATTTTTCTCGATTATTCTAAGTCTAAACAATACACTAAATTTCTAAGTAAGAAACTAAAATTTGTATGATTTATTTAGATCAATATTATTTTTTTATAAAAATTACTTTAATTTTTCTAGCTTCTGGAAGCCTGGCACAGAACAATTCATCTCTGGCAACAAGGAACCAGAAAGGTATATTGATTTCCAAAGTTCTGATATTAGTATATTTTGATTTTGCCTCTACCTTAAGCTAGCTAAAACGATAATAGATTTTTGGGAGGACGATGAATTACAAAATCTAGTAATACATGTTCATACATGATAATTATAGGACAGTCTCCCTTTCTGTGCAACAATATTAAGAAAATTCATTTAAAATCACCATACCGATTGCTGCTGACTGGATCAAATTTTCTACTGATCAGATATAAACAATTTTACTAATCTAAAATGGTGATATTGTTCATTGAATTTCAGGACATGTATAGAGTGGATACTTTTGTTTGTGTTTTTGCTTTATATGAGCACATAAATTAGGAGATTAGAGGCTAACCGTCCCTGTGGTTGCGTGTATGAGTGTGTTTTGTTTTATATGTACCAGCCTGTGAGGGTGCATAGATAAGATATGTCCATATATGCTTCTACCTATGCAAATATGTAAGCTAATTTTCATTTTTTTTTAATTAAAATTGTTTTGGGATAGTATTTCATAATCTTTCTCCAGCATATCATTGTGGTCATTGTCCAAAGGAGTGGTTCACATATTCCAACAATTGCTATTACATTAGTATTGAAAGAAAAGCATGGAATGAGAGCTTGCTGGCCTGTGCGTCTAAGAACTCTACCCTGCTTTATATAGATAACGAAGATGAACTGGTAAGATTTCAAATGTTTCAAACATTTTACTAAAAGCTTATTTCAGTCAATACTATATTTGTGAAAATCGTCCAAATTTTTTACTTATTGGTAGTTTTAATTTTAAAGTGCATGTTGACCGCAAATGAAAAAAACCCATATAGTTACATATAAGGTCACAATTAGAAGTTTTCAGCCCCCGGCAGTCCCTGAGTGTACTCTTGTCACTTCTCTTCTCTCCTCTCTTAACCAGTATTCTGATTTTTAATATTATAAATTATCTGCTTATTTTTAAACACTATATAAATGGAACATTCAGTATACATTTTTATGTGTTTCTTTTTTTACCTGCATATGATATTTAACAATTCATTCATATTATTACATTTATCTGTATTTTTTTAATTTTTCACTTCTGTATTATATGACTATGGCAGTTTTTAATCTATTCTACTGAGAGAGAAATGTGGCTGCTTTTGAATATGTTTGTATTATGAATAATTATTTTATGAAAGTCATTGTGTATGTCTTTTCCCACATATATTGTACTTATAGTAATTTACATATTATACATATGTCATATACAATGTTATTTTCATATAATATAAATATATTTATAATAATTTATAAGTATAATTGTGTTTCTGTATAATTGTAGTTTACTGTCTTCTTTGCATTAGAATGAAATTGTGGGGTCATAAATATATGTATGTCAAATTTATTATGTTATCACAGTCTTTTAGTTTATTGTGTAAATACACATTTTACCAATTAGTCCCTTCAACCAAAACTTAATATTATCGAGAATTTTAATATTATGTCTGATTGTTATATAGTAGTTTCATTATAACATTAACAGGCATTTTTCTGATTAGTATTAAATTAAACACATTTTTCTGGTCTCTTAATCACTAGAATATTCTTTTTTCGTGATAATGAGAAGTGTCTATTCCTGTCTCTTGCCCACTTCTCCTGTGTTGTCTTTCTTCTTCATTCCTAGAAGTGGTTCCATTTTGGATTTGGGGTTGTTTTTGATTTCATGAGATGAAAGCACCTTTTTTGACTCTGTGACTTACCCTTTTCACTCTGATATTGGAGTCCTTCAATGATCAGAATTTACTCATGTTATCAGAATCCAATTTACCATTTTGAGTATTAGTGATTATTTTGGACCTATTTCAGAACTTGGTCGAAATTCATGACGATAGTCTCCCACATTACCATCTAAGTTTTATTTTTTTTCCTTCATTTTTTAACTTTTACATTTAGGTCTATAATCCATTAGGAATTTATTTTTTGTGATGCTGTGAGGTGGAAGTGAAGTTTATGCTTTTCTACATCATTATCTAAATGATGGAACGTAATTTATAGAGAAGGTGATCTTTTCTTCATAAGGAACTTTATAGATATATATGTAATACATACACATATATATGCTCTAATCAGCTTTATATCGATAATTTATCTTCTTGAAGTTTTATAGTTTACACCTAGGTTTATGACCAATTTTGAGCTTATTTTTGTATATAATTTGAGGTATGTATAAAATAATAATAACTATATTATTTTTATTTTGCATAACAATATCCAATTGTTTCCACAACATTTATTGAAAAGACTATGCTATGTCTACTTTATGAGTTTGCATCTTTGTTGAAATCTGCATTCCGCATATGCGTGGGTATACCTTTGCACTTTCCAGTCTGTTTTATTGATCTAGTTATCTATTTTCATGCCGTCTGTACTGTAAGCATTCTTTTTTCTTTACAGTAAGTTTATATTAGTTACATTAGTTCTTTTTCAAAGATTTATTGTTTGTTCTAGGACGTTGTATGGATATCTCATTATGTCTATCTTTTTAAAGATTCTTTTGCTTTTCTTTTTTTTAAGCAAGTATGAATCTTAATTTTATCAATGCCTTCTGCATCAGAGTGATCACATCTTTTATCTTCTTTACTTGGTCAATGTGAGGGATAAATACTATGGAGTTTCAAATGTAAATCCAACACAGCATTGCTTCAATAAATCTATTTTTGTCATAGTGCATTATTTTTATATATCACTGGAATGTTTATATCATTTTATGATTGTAACCGATATGTAATTTCTCTTTTTGTAATATTCTCATCAAAAATACACAACATATTTTATTAGCCTCATTCATCTTGTTGCAAGTGTTTTCTATTTTCTTTATCCTACAAGAGATTTTATAAGATTGGCATTATATGTTTTTGGTACATATTGCTCACATCAACACGAAATGATCTGCAACTGAGTGTGGAAAGTTTTTTGAATTACGGATAACATTCTAATAGAAGTTTTAAGACAATTCTAGTAATTTCAGTTCTTTTTGTTTTAGTTTTCACAAGTCGTAATAGTTAGAATTTCTTCCACTGTGTGTCTATTTTCAAATGTATTTGCATATTTTCATAACATTGTCTTATAATTTTATTGAGGTATAATATACACACAAGTAGATGCAAATACTATATCCCAACAGCTTACTGAATTTTCATCAAGTGTAACCATCACCCAGAATGAGAAATTGAAATTTGCCTGCGCTACGAAAGGGCACTTTCATATTCTTTTCTGCATTAAAAAATACTTTATATCAATGGAATCATGCAGTATGTGTTCTTTATTTTTGGCTTTTTCAGGTAAAGCTAAACTGGTGAAATTCATCTACATTGTTGCATGAAGTTGTAGATGGTCCATGCCTCTTTCCTGTTCCATTGTCTGATTATGTTATAATGTATTTATCTATTCTACTGCTGATGCTCTTGGATATTTGGGTATTGTTCTATTTAGGGCTTCCATGAGTTATTCTGCCATACAAATTTCAGTGTAAAGTTTCAACAAAATATGTTTATCACTTCTCCATTCTATAACTTTTAACTGACTCTTCTTTTGATAGCTTCTTGAGAGGGAAGCTGCTCAGATCATTCATTTTAGAACATTCTTCCTTTTGAAAATGTGACAAAATATGTTTTTTTCTAAACACTACTTTAGTTCCATCCTTAAAATTTTTACATGTTCTCATTTTATTATCAGTTATTTGCTAATTTTCCTTTTGGTTTCAACTTTGAACTATAGATTTTGCAGAAATGTGTCACTTTCTAAATGTTTGGAAGTTCCCATATTTCTTTCTCTTGTGATTTCCACTTCAGTTCTTTGTCTTCGGAGAATATAATTTGAAATATTTTAATCCTTTCAACTTAGTGATACCTATTTATGAACTAGAATGTATTCTATATATGCCAGTTATATCAAGCTGGTTCATAGTGGATTTACACGCTTTCATATTCCTACTGATTTTATGATCAGGTGTTCTATTAATTACTGAGGAAAGAGCTTTAAATTTTCAACAATAATTATTAAATTGTTTATCTTTCTTTTTAATTCTATCAGTTTCCACTTCATGTTTTTGTGGGTCCTGTTGTTAGGTCAATACATGTTTTCATTGTTTTATCTTCCTCTTGTACTGATGGATTTAATATTTTTAAATGTTTCTTTTTATTTCTAATAATGTTTCCTGCTTTAACAGCTGTTTTGTCTGATATTAGAATAACCATTTCTGCTCACTATGGTTACTGTTGATAAGCCGTATTTTTTTCCATCCCTTTCACTTTCACCTATTTATGCCATTGAATCTAAAGTGTGGTTTGCTGTAGAGAGCATGTAGATGGATCTTACTTTTTTCATTGAGTATTTTTATTCAGATGTTTTATTATCTTTTGATTGGAATGTTTACTCATTTACATTTAATGTAATAATTAGTATAGTTGGATTTAGGTCTGCTATTTGCTATTTGGTCAGTTTGTCTTTTGATCTTTTCTTCCACATTTCCTAACATATTTTGTGTTAAACAGGTGTCATTTTAGTTTTTTAGCTAGTATGGAATCACCTCGTCTCTTCTACACATGTACACAATTTTCCATCGTCCACGGATGTGTAGAGCTAATCTCATCTCTTCTATTGTACTCTCATGTTTTGTACCTTCCCATTATATTTATGATTGGCACTGTGTGTGGCACAAAAGAGATCACAACTTTGGAATAGAAAAAGTATGGGTTTCCCTCATTCAGTACCAGGCAAATATAGCACTTTGAGCTGAAAAAGTAGTGGGCTATTTAGCGACCCATTCCCCTCTGCTAATCAAGTCTGCCTCTGTGGTAACAACACCACTGAGTTTTTCAGTCTTACCAAAACTGTAAAAACTACAATTATTCTTGCTCATCGGCTGGGCTGGGGAGGAGAGCAGGCATGGGAACAGTTCTAGGCAAGAAAACCGCAAATTTGTTCCATTCTTACTTGAATCTACAGCAGGTTTTCCAATAATAAATACTTCACAAATTATTATTAATCTTTGATCAGTTCTCAGAGCCCTGAAAGTGTGATTTTGTCAGTCGTTTTCTTCACTTAGTCATACTAATACGTTTTCCTAATGTGTCCAGTGTGTAACACTATAATGTAAATTGAAAGACTATAAATTAAAAAGAATTAATTCTATTTGTGGTTAGAAAATTCAAATTAGTATAAAAGCACTTTTTTGACTTGTCTTCAAATTTCTTTACTCATAGAATTTTTTGGTCTCCTTGCGTGTTTACTCATGGATTAGACCCTCTCATGGAAACAATAGTAATTCCTGGATGTCGCCAAGTGGCTCAACTTTCTCTTCAAAACTGTAAGTTGCTGGAGAACTCAATATTTTATGCCTTGAAGGAATTAATCTTAGAAAGAAAAAAAGAAATATATGAACAGTCATATAAACACAATTATTTAAATGTTTCCATAGAAAAAATTATATGGAAAATATTCAGATTTAGGTTATAACTACTAGTCTAAATGCATTGTTTATTCATCAAAATATGAAGTTATATTATACAAATAATGATATAATATTCTCTGTATTTCAGGTTCTCAAGATCTTCAGAGAGAGGCAAAAATTGTGCATTTTTTGATTTTCCAACGAAGTCACTTTCTTCCGCATCCTGTTTGGAAGAAAGAATGTATATTTGTAAGCAGCAGGCATTTTAGCTTATCTAAATTTGATATAATGCTACTGTCACCATCTATAAATAACATATTTGTAGTTTTTTCAAAAGCCATAAATTATTTGCTTAGAATTATTTTTTAAGATATTATATTTTAGTGAAGTTTCAGATTCACAACCAATTTTAAGAGGGAGGTACAAAGATTTCTATGTCCCCCCATCCCAACACGTGCGTAGGCTCCTTCTTTATCAACATAGCTCACCAGAATGGACACTTGTTACCTAGGATGAATCTATATTAATGCATCATAACCACCTAAAGTGCATAGTTAGCCTGAGGCTTCACTCCTGTGTTGTAGAACTATTTTTAAATCATTATCTATATTAATTTTTAAAATATATGCCAAGTCCATATGATACATTTCTTAAGCTTTTGCTATTTATTAAAATAAATCATGTATAAATTGCAAATCCTAATATCGAGAATTGTTATTGCTAGCCACAGTAAGTTGAATCAGTCCACTCATATTTTCAGATTAAAAGATATGTCTTCATCTTGGAAGGCATTGAAAATAAGGAAGTAACAACCTTGGGGGACGAGGTATATAAGTTAGAGTCAAGTCAGAGGATGGAATCAGGGTACATTTGATGCAAAGAATTATTAACTATTTGTTGAAAATTGTCCACTAAGAAAGGATAAAAGAAAATCACACAGAATAACATGATTACATATTATGTATTTTTAATATATATATAATTGACATAATGTTATATTAGTTTCAGGTGTAGAATGTAATAATTTGATATTTGTATCTATTGCAAAATGATCACCAAAAGAAATCCCGGTAACATCTGTCACCAGAGTTACAAACAAAAGAAATTTTTTCTCGTACTGAGAACTTTTTCTCTTTCTTTCTTTCTTTCTTTCTTTCCTTCTTTCCTTCTTTCTTTCTTTCTTTTTCATTGCAGTAATATTAGATTATAACATTATATAGCTTTCAGATGTACATTGTAATATATTTCGAATTCTGTGTGGATTACATCGTGTTTACCACACAAAAAGTAATTATAATCCATCACCTCACATCTGAGGCTAATCACCCCTTTTTCCCTATCCCCTCCCCCCCTTCCCCTACGCTAACCACCAATCCAATCTCCATCGCTATGTGTTTGTTTGTCCTTGCTTTTATCTTCTCCTTATGAGTGAGATCATACAGTATTTGGCTTTCTCTCTCTGACTTATTTCCTTTAGCATAATACTCTCAAGTTCCATCCATGTTGTCACAAATGGCTGGATTTCATCATTTCTTATAGCTGAGTAGTCTTCCATTGTGTATATATACCACATCTTCTTTATGCATTTGTCCCTTCAAGGGCACCTAGGCTGCTTCAAGTGTTGGCTATTGTGAATAATGCTGCAATGCACATACAGGTGCATGTATCGTTATGCATTTGTGTTTTCAAGTTCTTTGGATAAATACCCAGCAGTGGGATAGCTGGATCATATGGTAGATCATAGGGTAGGCCAGTGTTTCCTTATTGATCTTCTGTTTGGATGATCTTTCCATTGCTGTAAGTGGAGTGTTAAAGTCCCCTACTATTATTGTGTTACTGTTTGTTTCTCCTTTTAAGTCTGTTAATAATTGCTTTATATATTAGGTGCTCCTATAGTGGGTGCATAGATATGAACTTCTTGTTGGATTGTTCTCTTTATCATTATGTAGTGCCCTTCTTTGTCTCTTGTTACAGTTTTTGTTTTAAAGTCTATTTTGTCTGATATAAGAATTGCTATCCCCGCTTTCTTTTCTTTTCCATTTGCATGGAATATCTTTTTCGATTCCTTCAGTTTCAGTTTATGAGTGCCTTTAGGTCTGAAGTGTGTCTCTTGTATGCAGCGTATATATGGGTCTTGTTTTTTTTATTCAATGAGCCACCCTATGCCTTTTGAATGGAGCATTTAGTCCATTGACATTTAAAACAGCTATTGATAAATATGTACTTATTGCCATTTTGTTACCTTTTTTTTCTGGGTGTTTTAGTTGTTCTTCTCTGTTCCTTTCTTTTTCTCTTGCTCTCTTCTCTTGTTTTTTCATGGTCTCTTTAGTAATATGTTTGATTTTTTTCTCTTACTTATTTGCTTACTTATTATAGATTTATGATCAGTGATTACCATGAGGATTGTATATAATAGCCCATGTATATAACAGTCTATACCTAGTTGATAGACTTTTAGCTTGACCTCTTTTTAAAAGCTCTAATTTTTCACTCCCCTTCTCCCACATTTTATGTTTTTGAAATCATATCTAATGTCTTGTTTTGTGTCTGTCTATTCATTACCTTCTTATCATTGAAATAGGTAATTTTAGTACTTTCGTCTTTTAACCTTCACGCTATCTTCACAGGTGGTTGACCTGCTACCATTATTATATTTGGACCTTTACCAGTGATTTTATTGGCTGGTTTTTGGTGGTGGTTTTCGCTGATAATTTTTTTATCCCTATTTGGGTTCATCACTTTCCCACTTAAATAAGTCCCTTCAACATCTCTTGTAGAAATGTTCGTGATAAACTCCTTTAATTTTTTTCTTGTCTGGGCAGCTCTTTATCTCTCCTTCCATTCTGAATGACAACCTTGATGGATGGAGTATTCTTGGCTGTAGGGTTTTTCTTTTTAACACTTTAAATATGTCATGCCATTTTCTTCACCCCTGTAGGATTTTGCCTGAGAGGGCCACTGATAGCCATATGGGATTTCTTTTTTATGTCACTTGTTGCCTTTCTCTTGCTACTTTTAGGATTCTCTCTTTATCTTTAATTTTGGACATTTTAATTATAATGTGTCTTGGCGTGGGCCTCTTTGGGCTTTTCATGATTGGAGCTCTCTGTGCTTCCTGTACTTAGATGTCTGTTTCCTTCCTTAGGTTAGGAAAACTTTCATGTATTATGTCTTCAAAGAAATTTTCTGTCCCTTTGTCTCTCTCTTCTCCTTCTGGGACACCTATAATAGGAATGGTAGTGCACTTCATATTGTCCCAGAGTTCTCTTAGACTGTTCACATTCTGTCTAATTCCTTTTTCTTTTTTCTGTTCAGCTTGGGTCGTTTCTTCTAGTCATCTGTCTAGCTCACTGATCCATTCTTCTGTATCTTCTACTCTGCTATCGAGTCCCCGTAGTGAATTTTTCATTTCCAGTATTGTATTCTTCAATTATGATTGCTTCTTTTTTATATTTTCCAGTGTTGTGTTGATGAGCTCACTGTGTTCATCCAGTCTTCTCCCAATATCTGTGAGCATCCTTATGAGGTTTTGTTTGAACTCTTTGTTGGATAGGTCAATTCTTTCTGTTTCATTTAGTCATTTTTCTGGGGTTTTGTCCTGTTCCCTTGCTTGGAATGTATTCCTTTGTCTCCTCATTATGCCTCTTTCTCTGTGCTTATTTCTATGTATTAGGTGAGTCAGCCACATCTCCATAATTTGGAGAAGTGGTCTTTTGTAAAGGATGCCTTTTGGTGCCCAGTAGTGTGCTTCCTTCTCATCACCAGTACAAATGATCCAGGAGTGACTCCTTTGTGGGCTACTGGTGTCCTTCTGCTATGGCAGGGTTGCTCTTACTGCAGGTACCCAGGGAGTCTAGTCTTTCCTTTCCTGGCCAGCTGTTTGTGAATCTGGTTTGGGGAGCTTCGGCACCATTGGCTACAAGGACTAAAAGCACACTCCTGTTGCAGTTTTCCTGTTAATTGTGTAGGTACCCAGTGTAGCTGGTTGCTTGGCTCAGGGCATTACAGCTGCTGTAAGCCTCAGGACTACACGGTTGTTGTCAGTTCTCTTAGGAGTGCAGCTGAGTGAGGCTGGCCTTAGCCATGGGAGCACTCAATTATTTTAGGTTGTGGAAGATGGAGCTGATCCTTTTTATGGCTATTTGTTAAGCACAGGTCTTCTTCTGCTGCTAAGCCTCACCCTGCACAGGACAACACACACCGTCAACACATTCCTGACCCATGCACAATTCCCGAAACCCTAGATTGTATCCTGATGCCCCATGGAGAGGCCCCCACCTCTCCATCAATGCCCCCCACTGTCCCCATGGTCCTCAAATAGGTCCTGCCCAACAGAGGCAGACACACCCTCCTGCCTATAGAGGATCAAGGCACCCAGTCAATGAAGGCTGACAAATAACCTGAGGGTTTCCTGTTGGGCTGGGTCAGTCCCTAGAGCAGGCTGCCTACCCTGGCTGAAGTGGATTAAATCTGTGCTCTAGTGGGTGTCATAGACCCAGGGATAACAGCCCAGGGGAAGAATTTCAATGACTTCTGCTGGGGTCTGTGTCAACACACAAGGACTTGCTCACAATAATGGACATCACCAATATCTCAGTCTCCAGAGAGGACTCTCCTCTCTCCAAGATGCCACCAGAGCCCACCAGGTGTGTCTTTTCACCAAAGGACTGTCAGCCTTCTCTCTGGTGATTTTAAGTTGCTGAGACGGGTGAGTTTGTGCATGGGCCCTTTAAGACCTGGGTCTTTTCTGCTTTTGTCTGCTAGGCTTTCTAGGCATATCTCTGCTGCACTTAATACCCAGCAAAGCCAGGTAGTAAGACCCTTGTCTCAGTTGTGCTGAGTCTGAAGATTGCTTATAGCAGTATCGGCCCCCACTCCAGACCTCACTCCTCCATGGAGGGCTGCGTACCTTAGGGTAGCTCCCACCTGGCTGGCTTAGAAACTCCATTACTACTGGAGGTGACTTTTTTCTCTACAGAAGAAATTTTTGCCTCTTTTGCCTAAGTCAGGAATGTCCCTTCTGTGGGGCTTCTTTTTATCCAGTTTTCAGTTTTCTACCCAGGGTAATAATTCCAAAAATAGTTGTAACCTGGTTGTGTTTTTGGGAGAAGATGAGTTCAGAGTCTGCTTATGCCACCATCTTGATGGGATCTCTCTACCTTATGATTAAAGGAGGGTACTCAAAGAAGGAGTCACCTTGTAGCCAAGTTTATCACCTAAAGAAGGTCTTTAGAAATCATTGAAGACAGTGTGGCTTTAGACAACTTCATGGTAGACATTTTCACTGGATTGCCCAGGGACAAAGCTGTTTCACAATCAGCAGGCTGAAATTAATGAAGATGGCTCTCGGGCTATAACTGGCAAGCAGGAAGAATGCCTTGCCAGATTGTCAGCAGACAGAGGCTGGAGGGCAGGGAAGTATGACTGAAACTGGACACAAAAACTTGCTAGAATACCATAGGACTTCCTGCATCCATGCCACTGGAACTGCACTATATTAGCCAAAAGAGAGAAAACACCATGAAACCAGGAAGAAGAGCCTTTTCTCCTACAGTGCCTATTCAGTGCCTTTTACTGACAAAATTTAACATCATGTGAGCTGACGAGGGAGAAAAGTTTATGGGATCTATATCCATTTTTTTCAGAAAGCAATGGAAGATTGTTTTAAGCTGAGAGTAATAAATTGTTAATTGACATTCAAGATTACTATGTAAGAACCACAAGGTTGCTGTATAAGAGCCATTTGCATCTGCCCCACTTCCTCAGAGAATGCAACCAATTGTATCTTCTGAATCTGTTTTAGTGCAGCATGATCAATGATTAGGTTAACTCTTTGGTAGAGATTGGTTTTTTCATTGTGTAATAATCAATGTTCTTTCATATTTTTTCACATCTGTGATCTTTTCCCTTCTAGATAGCAAATATTTTGGAAGGTATCTTGTTTTATTGAATTTTGTCTCTCTCCATTCCTGTCCTTCTTTGTCACCATGCTTAGAAAAATAATTTGATGGAAAAAAGAAAATGTCAAATAATGAAAAAATTGAGTTAAAACAATGAAAATGTTTGGGTGGTTCGACCATCTAGTCATTGACAAAATTTGAGATAACCTTTAGTAATTGACACTGACTCAGAAATACTTCAC